AGTATTCGACTATGTTCAAGAATTTATTAGATGCAGAAACTGATTAGATATAAAATGTTTCTATTCTACAATATCAGCTCATCTAAGGCTAGTTAGTGTTATTGTGTTACGTTGCGTGTAGAATAACATTAGGCTAGTTAGTGTTACTGTGTTATGTTGCGTGTAAAATAACATTACGTATTTTACATGTTATTTGCAGGTTACAGATAAACAAAACAACTACCTGGTTCTGCAAGTTTTAGTTTCTATTTTAGTCTACGCGAATGCTTCTATTAACCCTATTATCTACGTTGTCATAAATAAACAGTATCGACAAGCCTACATAAACCTTCTTCATTAACGGTGAAGTTACTGAAAACTGTCTTGGTGTGTTTGAATTTTCCGGAAAATAAAATAAAATGATCATTGGCATTTTCCAGTTAGCAGCAGGTTGGTGGTGCTGTTCACTCTTCATGATACGGTCACAAAAGGTTGAGTTAACTTGTATGCTTATCAGTGGTATGTCACCGTAGATGTGAGTCGTGGCTAATATGGCCAATATGTTACGTATATATATATATTATTTACACGGCTAGTTTCCGACCATGCAATTCCTTTAGTGATAGACTTATGGCTGAAGGGATATGTTACGATCTTGTAGAAGAGACAAAGAACACAATATTTCAAAGAAGAAAACATTCATTGCTCTCCCTTGAAGCAGAAAAACTCGAAGAGCAGAACCTATACTACAACAGTAGGCTCCGAATACACTCCCCAGGCCATTCCGGAAAACAACAAACAGAACACTATGTTTACGAAAGAGAATCTTCCCACCAACACCCACCCCCACAAAATAAACAAGAGAAAACTTGGTAAATCTCTTTATACCGTTTACAAGATAACAAACAAATAACAGTTTAAGATGGCAAAGGTTCACAAGACAAAAGTTCTCTACTCCCACCCCCAATGGAGCTCCAGTTGAATATGGTCTGCTTAGACGAAGTTAACCTAATTAGAGAGACTGGGGAAAGTTGTTGTCTAAGAATGGCTCTGCCATCATACTCAAAAATCTTTTACAATAGAAACTGAAGTATCAGACAATATTACATAACGATAACTATCAGGCTAAACGTGGTCGATAATGGAGGAAAAGAGTTCCAAGGGCATCATGGGAACATCGAAATAATCCTGCAAAAAAATATTAACTTATACCGAAAACTTGAAGTTACTTTTCTCTTTGATATCTAAAAGGTCAGTTTGTTTTTGTGTTTAGAATGTAGTGATTTTGTATTACTTGTTTATTTTTACATTCAAGTGGTTTAACACACGAGTCTTGATCACGAATACAGTTAAAACGAGTTTTCTACAAATGTATAATTTGAAACAGGACTTTGAGAAATATTGAAAATAATTTTAAACTTGTTCAAGATGTCATTTCTGCGAACTTTAAAAATGAGGTCTCATCAGATTCATAGCTACACAACAAGATCAGCTTGTATTCTTTTCTGATACACATGTACACACTGTAACAAAAGTGACGTTATACCTTGATGTCTTTGAATGTTAACCAGTAAAGTAATTAAAATGTCCCGATATTCACTAGTTATTTTATATATTAATCAATGAATAAAGTAACAAATAAAACCATTATTTTGAATTGTTGTACAATCTTGTTGTTGTTCTTGTTTTCATATATGGCATACAATTATAGCTTCACACTTTCTTAATTTTGGAAAATAAACATCATATTTAATGATTTCTCAACGTCTTATGAAGTTTGTTTTGGAATTTAACACAAAGTTACACAAGAGCTATCTGCACGTAGCTATCCCTAATTTTGAATTGCTATACTGACAACTCTTGAGCTACCCTTGTCTGATCGAATAGGTGAATTTGACTGTTACTCCTATAACACACCTACGACCCCAAACTGCGAAGCGTGGTTTTATAGCAGTGGGTAACGAACCATGAAATCTCGGATTCAAACTCTAGACACTAATCACTAGATCATTATCAACCTAATTTAGGAGATGTAATGTATATTTTTTATTATTACTATAACAAATACCTGAAAACATACTAGCTATGATACACAAGGCCGGACTAGGAGGGAGTGGGGGAATGGGTGCAATTGTCCGGGATCCCCTGACAAAGAAGAAAATAAAAAATTGGATGTCTTATTGAAAGACACATGTTTGTATCTGTATCACTATGACAACAGTAGTTTAAGCGTTTCATATAAACCTATTACTTAATAATTTCTTAGCATGTTCTCACTGCTTTTCTATGATAAGTATTTTCTCGACCAGTTAACAAACAATATACCATTAACAATATACTAGTTAACAATATACCAGTTAACAAACAATGTTTGTTTGTTTGTTTCATTTAGCAAAACCACATTAGGCTCTATGTTGTGTCCACCGCGGAGAATCGAATCCCGGATTTTAGCGTTGTACGTCCATAGAGTTACCACTGTCCTTCCCGAGTGGGATATAATACACAAATTCGTTACCATTCCTTCATATTTGTTACAAGCATTAGAATTGGTATTTATTATATTATCTACCCCTCGTTTAAGTTTTTGTATTTCTCAAACTTTAGTTAATGCACAGTTATGAAAGGAACATGACTTATTTATGAAGTTCAGTTTTCACCTCCCCCACCATACACAATTTTCCCCAGCTCCCAAAGTCTTATTTTGCCCTGACGGTAGGTAGCGTCATTCATATATCGCATAATTATTAACCACAGTTTACAAACTATTAAAAAATTCACTCATCAATATTTTTATTAACTTTTAAATTTCAAAAGTATAAACATACTTGGTTTCCTAAAATGAAAACGTAACTCACATTTTCTAATACCGACAGTTTAAAAATTACATTTGTTAAACACTTTATACCAGAAGAGTTTTTACGAATCTTCAACGAAAATTACAATTAATAATAATTAATCTTAGTTATGAGTAAACCACATAAAGCCTTTATGAGTACATCGTCTTAGGTTGTCAGCTGGCTATGAATCTGTTGTTTGTATTGCCATCTATTGAGTAAGGTAAGAATAAATATGATGTTTGTCCTGCCATCTATTGAGTAATGTGAGAATAAATAAATAAAGACGAAAGAGTTCCGAAACGTCGTCCTCTACACTTATGTCTCTACAACAAGCAGTTGCCGTCCATTCTACAAAGTTTCGTCAATAAATATGATGTTTGTGCTGCTATCATGAAGACCGATTCGAGCGAATTTTAGTTACAAATCACTTGCTCAATTTGACTCACACCCTAATAGTTTTTGTTCAAAGGAACTGATGATATATATAGCGTCTACTCCACTACCATTCCTATCGATCCCAGCCAGTTTTACGAGCCATAGTAATGGACGAAAGATCTAGTTGGCAGATATAATGTGGTTAATATATTTTAACATATTATTTCCTTGCTTTCACTCATGCGTTCTTAGAATTACTGAGTCACAATTAATTCCACTACTTATAAGTGTAGATTCGTTATGGCGAGTAAAGCTCAAATCAAATACTTTGCTGTGTATGTTAATTTTTCTGCTGCCACCTGTTGATTGTAAAGAGAGAAAAAATATATTTGATTAAAAAATCTGTTCTAAAACCGAGAAGACACAGCGTCGCTCTTGATCGCCCTTAAACATTGTTGTAGGTGAATTTTTGTGTCAAATTTAAAATCATTAAAATGAACGAAAACAGCAGACAAGTGAATATAACGACAAATCTTTGACTCCACCTAGAAATATAAGGCCTGATTTATGAAACGTATAATAATAAAATCAAACAAGTTTATATTTCGTAATTTCAAGTTATTGGAAATGTCCAAACTTTAATCTAATTTTCCATAAGAACTTCAAATACTGTATAAATATTAAACAAAATATTTCTAAGGCACGTCATCATTTTAATAGATGATCTATCTCACAGCAAACATTTGTATTGTGTGAATACTAAATTATTTTAAACCATTGGTTAGTTATGCTTTTCATTATCAAAAAACAATCGTTATTTTCGCGACATGACACGAAGAGTTGACTAACTTACTTTAATTTAACGTAAAATCAAAAAACCATCTTAACGGAACAACACGGCCTTATCATAAACCACCAGTCTGGTTTTGTCAACATACCTTTACTAAGCCGTTAAGCAATCTCTGGTCATATGATTTCTTTGTTACATACTATATACGTATTCCTGTGTTTGGATAGACTATTTGTATCCGATGATGACACAACCTTGTCTAAACATTGTACATTTGTTACTGTGTTAAACTTGTGATAAAGTTTCCTTTTTTCACCCATTCAAGAAGTCTAAAGCTATTTATTTCAAAATGGGCCGGCCTCTCAAGGTATGACTTGTTTTTTCTCAAATTCACGCGATCTCTATATTTGACATCGTTCTGTGAGCCCCCAGTAGCACAGCGGTACGTCCTCGGACTTATACTGCTAGAAATCGGGTTTCGATACCCGTGGTGGGCACAGCACAGATAGCCCTTCGTGTATCTCTGTGCTTAACAACAATCGTTCTGTGAAATTTAATTTTCTGAAAAAGGGTAAATTATGCGTTATTTATTCCTTTACGGCCGTAAATACCGTCAAGAGGAAAGGTACACAACTGATGAAACAATGTAATTAAACAATGCTATCTAATAATTAATAGTAAGACAGTTTGATCATTAAAAGGAATATTTAATTAGCTACCTTCATTGCTAGATGCATGTTGTTTAGTTCTAATCTCTGTAGGTAGCTTGTTTTGATCAAAAGTTAATATCAATTTATCACCTATTCAAATACACATAAATGTACATGGTGCTGCCATCTACCCAATAAAAGTATTTCCTTTGTACACTGATAAGAATGACTCGTTTCCGCTATTTTTTTTGTTATTTGCGTGTGAAAGTGGATATGCCATGTGATTCGCTGTTCGAAAACTTTCTGACAAGGAAATGTTTATTCAATAAAACAACATCTGTCTAATTATCAAAAGTGAGGAACGTATAACGTCATGCATGAAATCACCCTCACGAGTCACGTGGTGGAAGAAGCGATTAGTGATTCGAACACAAAACGCAAGACTTTCGAAAGGAAGGACGTTAAGTCCTCTCAAGGCAGGACTTCTTTGTGCCAAACTAATGCGATCTAAAAATATCATAATTTAGCTATTTTCCACTTCGTTTACTGATAACCGGTTGAACCAGATTATTTACAACCTGGTGTGTGTGTGTTTTGCAAAATGTTACTGCAAATTGACTCTTGGAAGTAAAATTGTTCCTCCTTTGTGACACACTAACAATTTGAAATTTAATTCGGGGTGAAGGTGTTTCTAACCGTTTCTTCTTTTACGACGATCCCTGTTATAACGAAGGACATCGAAGTGTACAGATTTTACGTTTTTGTAAACTGACCTCGATTCTCCTGCGATTTACAAAATGGCTTATATTATGTTTATTTTTGTTTAAACAACTAGTATTCCACGGCGATCAAAATCTAACATATATATTAATGGAAATCAGTATTAGCTAAATATGACAGAAGACCTATATAAACTGAAGTCATTTACTGGAGATAATCGTTTAGTGGAAAGTTATCCAATCGACGCTACTGAATCCGACGTAGGGACGAGAAATGTAACATCTAGTGTTCTGGCCTTATTTCAAGACTACCCACGATCCTTGCTGAACTTTGGTGCAGCTTGTTGTATCATCTTGTCCATTGTGGGGATCCCTAGCAATGTGATATCTGCTATTGCCATCGCTCGTTATCCTCGGCTGAAGAAAAACGTCACAACACTTTTCATAATTAACCTGTGTATTGCAGACTGTCTGTTCTGTGGATTCACCCTCCCATTGGCCGCGTCCACCTTTCTGCAACGCGGTTGGATTCATGGAGAAGCACTGTGCGTGCTCTTCCCTCTGATTCGATATTCCAACGGTGCAGTTTCGTTGCAAAGTGTTGTGGCAATCGCCATTAATCGATACATTCTAATATGTCACCCAAAGATCTATAAACGAATATATCAACGACATTGGTTGGTCGCCATGATAGCGCTCATCTGGATATTTGCCTTTTCTCTTCTTCTTCCTCCATTGATCCAGGTTTGGGGAAAACTTGGATTTGATCCCAAGTCCGGCACTTGTACCATCTTGGAAGTCGATGGAAAATCGCCAAAAACGTTTCTTTTCATTTTTTCTTTTGTGTTTACTTCGATTGTTTTTGCATATTGCTATTCCCGTATCTATTTCGTTGTTCGCAAAAATCAGAAAAACGTACAAGAACAAAAGCGAAATACATTCTCTAAATGTTACGACAGTATAGAACAAGCATCCTCAAGCTACAAAAATTCTTCGTTTTCACCTTCGATTGAACTTCCAGACCAAAGTGAAATTCCATCTCTTAAATCTTCGCTTGCTTCCAAAATGGACAAGAAACTGTCCAAAGATATCAAACTTCTGCGCATGATTTTTGTCATCTTTTTAATGTTTGTAGTCTGTTATCTTCCTATGACGTTGGTGAAAGTTCTAAAGGTAGAAGAGAAGATCCCCGTGGTACACGTACTGGGCCACATCTTCATCTACTTAAGCGCCTGCATCAACCCTATCATCTATGTCTTGATGAGCAAGGAGTATAGACAAGCCTACAAGAACTTGTATTGTTGCTACCAGGATCCAAATGTTAGCAGCAGCGGACAGACGTAAATCATTTATTTCTGTGTTATACCGTAAAATGTTTCAACTACAGGCAAATATTTTGTATGGACACGAGTAATTTGAATATGTGAATTAGCATGATTAATATTGGTAGTGACTTAATGCCATATGAAACTCTAATGCTAATTTTCAAGGATATATACATATATATTTTTTATGACTTGAAAAGTATTTTCTTACCTAATTTGCTCGTGAAACAAATATACTTAAATAATATGCTCACTCGAAAGTTTTCAAAACCAAGGATTATGTAAAATTCACGTTTTTAAAATAATTATGTTTGTATTATGGGCAAAAGCATACAGATTAATAAATATATATGAGAGTGTATTAGTTGATGTATCAGTTACGTACTCACTAAGCCTAACCAGCCTTTTCATAACTTAAACCAATACTTAGCTATTAATCAGAAGACAGCGATGATCTTATCTCTTCGATAGGTGCAACTTGGACCAAAATGTGGAACATTACGTCTTTACTATTGGGTTTTAGAATACTAAATTCTACAAATTAGAAAAAAAAAGACTTTCACATCTTTATGAAGTTTACCAAAGTATTGTATCCGTAGTCCTATATTAAAATTTGGAATGAAGGAAGGACTGAGTGGTAAATATAGCAATAAGTGGTACTACAGTTGATTACGTGATGTTACTTGTTAATAACGTGAATAAACAGTTAAATTTAAGCCGGAGTACGTATTAGGTTTTTGTTATGCGTATCTAAAAAAGAAGTTATTATATTTGCTGTTTGTAATACTGCTTCCGGCGGAAGTAGAATTTTTAACTTAACGTGGTAGTTTGAAAATGACCCCAAAACTACGTTACTGTAAATATGAGGCATAGACCCCTACCCTCATTACTTTTAACCATCAGCATAGACAGATGGATACGCCTTATACATCTCAGTGGGCTTTTCGGCCATGCAGGGCTAAACATTATTCTGATTTGTAGTTGAAAACTGCTGGTGACCAGGCACTACAGTTTGCACAATGTCATTACAAAGAAAATTTTATTGATGTTATGTTTGTCCTGAGTAATGTTAATTTATCATATTTCTGATGGTCGTTTTCACACCCTCCAAGATTCGTTAGCCGTCCTTAATTTAGCAGTGATAGACTGGAAGAGGGAAAGCTGCTTGTCAACACCACCCACCCCGCCAACTCTTCGAATACTCTTTTTTTACTAACGAAAAGTGGGATGGATTGTCACATTATTACGCTCCGACGGCTGAAAGGGAAACATGTTCGGCGATGGGGATTCGAACCCACGACCCGCATATTGTGAGTTGAGCACTCTAACCACCAGGCCACGCCAGGCTCACCAGATGGCCTCCAAGATGGAGGAACAGTGTTACATATGCAGTTGCTTCGAGCCAACGAATTAATCTTTGTCTCTTTAGGACACTTTAAAAAAAACTTGGTGTACATTTTCTCATTCGAGTTGCCTTATGACTAAAGTAAGGCCACTATTATTTGATAGCACAATAAAAGAAAACGGCCATGCTTATGCAGAACATTGATTATATTCAAGCCATCAAGCACGTATTTGGAAGAGAAACAGAAGTAATGTTAACGTGTGAGAAAAGAGATTTAAGCTTGTAATATAATGAGATTTAAGCTTGTAAT